AAACCTGCATCTCCGCCAACCCGGCCTCCATTCCCCGCAAAGCCTGGTGGACCAAATCCAGTCCCAGCATCAACAAACCCGTCTGGTTTGAGGCAGACATGAACGGTGGAACTAAAGTAAGAAATCTAAAAACATACCTGAACAGAAAAATCTGCTGAATCCAGGGCTAAATCATGTCAAACTGTCCTCCAATTCATTCAGTTCCGCTACGGAAATGCTGAGGAGCAACCAAACGTGGTGGCGGTTCAGATGAAGCTGCTGCAGCTTTTGTCCAAAGAATCGCACCAGAACATCACCTACCACTGCAGGAACAGCGTGGCGTATAAAGACGTGAGGAGCACCCACCTGAAGAAAGCTCTGGTCCTCAGAGGCTCCAACGGCCAGGAGTTGAGAGCGCAGGGAAACCTGCGCCTCCGGTACACCGTCCTCCAGGACGGCTGCGCGGTGAGTCATCTCAGGACTCTTGATTTAATCGATTACCGGTATGGAGACACATCTACTCACTCGCCTGCCGCTCTTGTCCCTCAGAGTTCCAACGGGGAGTGGGGCGAGACGGTGATCGAGTACAGGACCCAAACTGCTGCCAGGCTGCCCGTCGTGGACGTGGCCCCCATGGACATTGGGAAAGCTGATCAGGAGTTCGGCCTGGACATCGGCCCTGTGTGCTTCTCATAAAACAACAAGAACAAGATGGACAGAAGAGGCCCTTTTTTTTAGAGAAGAAACATCACCAGTAAATTAGAGTATGTGGACTCGTCTTTCAGTGAGCGTACAAGTCGATGGAGGTTAGATTCTTCAACACATGGCTGCATTTCCCCAAAGCTGTGGAAGTACGGCGTGCTTGCTGGGCGACCGGCAGGACGCTGACGTAATTTATTCGCTTTGTCAATAAATGTACAATCTGGAGCACCAGACCTCTACAGGGCAATGCACGTGGGTGGAAAAAATAAAGTCTGCTAACGTTGCTGCTAAAGGTGCTAACATGAACCCTGAGTAGAGTTTAGATGGATTGTGAAGTTGCACAAACTGGGAAAATAGCCAATATTAAAGCTTAAAGAGATGTAGTCTCAGAGCAGACAAGCAAACCGTCGTCATTTGGCTTTTTTTCCCAGTAAATGCACATGCAGAGGCCTGGACATTAAAGGAATTAAACATTTAAACCAAGCTTGAACCTAAATTATTAAGGTCTGTGGAGGAATTCATTTACTCTCTCAACAGAAAACCTTTGTATCTCCTTTTAAAACCCCAACTGTAAATGCAACATATGACTGTAAATTACACATTATTTGTTTGTTGTTGATTATGGATGTGGAATAAATGTCTTTCTCTGGAATGATGATAAATGATAAAGCATCTCACCACTAGAGGGAGACGAACACCTTCTAAAGAGTCAGAGTCAGAGTATAGACGCAAAACAATAAACTGAAACAGAAATGGATTCATGGCAAACTCTCCCTGCAGTGGTGCCCGTTTCTCAGAGGATAACATCACACTATCTCCCGAAGCCTTCAGCTTCAAAGGGCTGCCTGCATTTGGGTGCACGAGGACATGGGCGAGAGGGAGAAAGAAGGCGTCCCTGCAGGAAGAAGCAGAGCCAGAGTTCAGGCAGCACATGTTTCGGGGTCGACCTCTGTTCTCTCCGCTCGGTGAGAGACGTGACACTCTCACCGTTTCCTGCAGCCCGGCCTCTGCACATCTGTCGAGGTGGTCATTTTTAGACGGTGCTGCTATTTTCATTTTGAGAACGGAAATTTTAAGCAGGTAGAAGTTGGTTTTCCAGTGTTTCTGATACACATCGAAGGCGCTTTTCTTTTCCTGGATGTCGCCGCCATTTGAATGACAACAACTAAACTGAAACGCCGCTTCTAAGAAAGTAAAAAAAATAAAAAACGCAGAATTCCAAATGACTACAGAAGGTCACAAGCCGAGAAAGAGAAACCACAATACAACAAATCCAGAGCAAAATAAAAGAGGCGATACATTTGTTTTTCATTTTTCAATATTGACTTAATTTAAATTGCGTAGTAGAGCGGTCATATTCTTAGGAGCATAAACCAAATAGAAATGTAGACCTGTTAATGGTGCACAATGAAGGGTCAGGGGGGGTAAACCAAGGGTATTTGTGTATACACTAGCCTCAATATCCCTTCCTACATCGCCGCCTTCTGCTCGCACGTATACTTTGATGTGTTCCGATGTATTTTGCCTCAAATTGGGGTCAAAAGAGGCGCATTGCAACGCGGGCCGCTGGATTCTGCGACCCTGAGATGGCAGCGACGCCCAGACCGTGACTGGGGCGTCTCTTGTTTGCCAAGGAGCCTTGATGAGATTTCCCAGCTACACCCTTTCCTTCCTGTGCACCCTCCAACCCCACCTCACTGACGCCCATGCAGAACACTTAAAGACCACGGGGGGACGGATCACGGGACGGGATCAAACCGTTGGCCTAAATTATTCTCTGTGGAACGAAAGGGGACAATTATGGGAAAGTTCTTTGAGTTTTCACTGACGTCAAAGAGATTGAGTCGGCTCATTATAGTGATGCAGTACGGAGAATGTCGTCAGATTCTCTTGGAACACATACTCGCCTCCATCGAAGGTTTGCCATCTTTTTGCACAGGTTTCGAAGAATTCTTTTTACAGCTTACATGTAGACATTTACAGCTCGTCTTGCATGCACTGCCGGCTCAGGACACACCTGCCTGCACACCTTTTAATTCAATGAGAAATACGACAACATAGAAGATCAGGGGAAGAAACTCTCTCCTAATAAAAAGGAAATTAAGTGACAATTCACACGCGGGACAGTCAGTCAGATGGGCGCTGCTGCCTCTCTAATCACACAGACACAGACACACACACACTGTGTGACACACACACCCCTCCTCCACCCCGCTGAGGTCGAAGGGGAAATGGGGCCGCTCTAACGTCCCACCTTTTCCCAGACCCTGGGCGGAGCCTGCATGGGCCTGGTGGCACAGGGGGGAGAACAATGGCAGGAAACTGGGAGAGGAGTGAGAGACTTCCTGTTGGCAGGACGATGCCGAAGAAGAGAGCGGCGGCGCGCCTCGTTACAAGTGGCCGCTGGGGCCCCCCGCCCCGGGCCGGAGGAATCGGGCCCTTTAAAACTGGAATAAGCTTATTGTTTGAGATGTTTTCAAGCGTTTGGTTCCAGATGTCTGACGTTTCATGGGTGGGATTTCTTTAAAAAAACACTTATAAAGGTGTAACCATCATCATTGTGAACTTTGTTTCACTCCCACAAGGCCGTTTCTCATATGAGCCTAAAGTGGCCCGATGCAATTATTGCATTAATCATATTTTTATTGGTTTTAATATTGTAATCAACCATTTAATTCCTGGGAACTGGGAACGTGGTGCCACCCGAACAGCAGAAAATAACATGAGATGTTATTAAAACATGTACTTGGATCTCTAAAGAAGCTTTGGGTGCAGCGGGAGGGAAAGGTGTTAACATCTGTTGAAGCGCCAAACAACACAAGGAAAGCGGTGGAAGTGCTGCGCCCCTGGCACCCTACAAATGACCTCTCCCCCTGGTGCGTTCTCACTTTGGATCATGACGAGCCCGCAGAAACACCAAAGCGGCGTCCCGACCAGACGACCCCGTGTTGACGTCACTCCCGCGTGGTTCCTGCAGGCTTCCCGCGCGGGCTGCGCCCAGGCGCGGGTCACCCTCCACGCGGCCGGGCCGCAGGAGCTCGAGCGCGCGGCCCACAAATGGTCCCATTGTTCTCGGGGACCGAGACGTCCCCCGGCGCGCACCCGCGGTCGGATCGATCACTTCGGACGTTTCGTGCGTGCGTGCGTGGGCTCAGCTCGTCGTGTTGGAGTGCGTGTGTGGCGAAGTGGAGTTACTGGAAACTGAGTCACTGTTCCCGCGCGCAGACAAAAGGTTTAGCAGCTCTTTCCGCAGCTGTGATGCAGAAAAAAAAGTCTTTGCAGCACAACGCTGTCCTGGTGTCTGACCCCCTTGCATTCCTGACACCCCCCCCCCCCCCCCCCCCCCCAAATGGCATTTATTGGGCGGCATAGGGGGTTTTTAAAAGAGGGAAAAAACAACTGAATTTGGCCACGGCCGGGGAGTTTTTCTCTGCCCATTTACCAGAATTGAATACTTGGGTAACTTCAAAGCTAATATCTTCCGTCCCTGACTAATACCTGGAATATTGTGCGCTGGAAAGTCACAACATCGGCTAAACGCGTCAAGCTTGGGAGCGCGCGCGGAAGCGAAGGCAGTAAACAAGTGTTGTTCGTGAGACCGAGGAAGTGTTTGCAACCAGGACGCACGAGTTCAACGGCGATGTATTCTTAGAAACAGGAAGCATGCAATGCATCCACTGGTTGGATTTGGCACTGAGGTGAATCCAGGGAGGCGGGACAGCACACCATCGCAAACATCTTCAGCGAGAGAGACCCCCCCCCCCCCCCCCCTCCTCGCACGCTTCAAGGGGGTCCGTGCGCTGGAGGAAGCGCGTGCCACCAGAAACCACACAGGATGCTGCGCTATGTCGATGCGGCAGGATGCGAGTTGGGAGTCGTGTCAGATGTTCAGGGTCCCAGCGGACTGAGCTCATCGTGCACGACCCCCCCGCTCCCCCGCAGCTTTGACCCACGTGACACCAGGTGCTTCTGAGCAGCAGGTGAAGGTAGAAGTGTTGAAGTGAACTGCAGCTCTGTTCGTTGGACAAGAATAAATAGCCCTTCTCCCCTGGGATTGTGTGATTACGCTTTATATATAAATACATAAATGGTTGTGCATTTGTTTTTTGGATGAGGAACAGAGAGTACGCCCTGCTTTGTCTGGAAACAATATTCATTTCAGAGGGAAACGTTTTCTACGGTCAGAAAAGGAAATTCCACCCTTCATTTAATATGGGGGGAGGGGGGGCACTCACATTCTTTCTTTCCTTATTTTCATTCCGTCTATGAGGAGAACAATAGAGAATCCATTAAGGAAAGAAAAACAAACACGCTTCTTCTCTTTTTCTGAACCTCAGTTTAAAACACATATTTACAAAAAAAATGGTTTCTTTTACTAACAAGGATTTATTAACAAAATGAGATTCAGACCTTGACTAACGTGATATTGTGTAATGAGAAAACACAACCACACACACACACGCACACATCTATATTTTGTATTGATCTATCTGCAGGACTTGACTTAGATATTTATAAGAACACGTGGAAATCATCACTCGTATATTATTATAGTTCACATACAGCATTATGAATAGCATGCATACATTCTGTGATTGCAGCAGTTATGAACATTTCAACAAGTCGTCATGAAGAGTTGACAGCTGCACATTAAAGGAATAGTTTGACATTTCTGAAGCGAATACTTTTTCAAGTCTTTGTGTTAAGCTGAGCAAACCGTCTCCTGGAGACTCAGGTTATAAAATACATTTCATTCCTCTCATCTAACTCCTCAGTAATTCATGTATTTCCTGTTCTGGAAGGCTGAAACCAGCAGCTCTCCAACTTTTATTTCAAACTGAAGGTAACAGACTTTTATCTTTATCAGTGAAGGACTCAGTTTCTTGTTTGCTCATCCAAAAAGCGATTAACCTCTAATGACTTTCAACAATTAAAAACTAGCCACGGTTTCTGTTTCTTTAACAAAGGTAATATGACACGTTGTGTTAGAGGACCGGACAAATATACAAAGTTAAAACGCTAAAGGCTGCATGAAATACTTATTTCAGACACACACATTTCATCATCTTTACCGCATAAAAACACACGTGCTGTGAGGCAATAAGGATCCGTATGGAGCAGCGACTGCAGCTTTGACACAATGTCAGCTCCTCTTTATTGTTTTCAACTTCATTTAAATCTTTCAGCGTGGCAAGCCTTTAAACAAAATGTCACAACAGGAGTTTTAGCGAAGCAAGCTGCGTATTTATGTCTTCAGTGTTTACACCTTTATATACTTTTCTAGTGTTTTATAGCACGAACAACAAGAATCTTGCTCTTTTTGTAACGTTATCTTCTTGAACGCGTCAGAAAGACCAACTCCTTCTCCGCTGTGCAGCTCACAACTCACAGCCGCCGTCGATGTTTGCAAGGAAAGGTTAGATTTGGTGAAATAGTTCAGCAAGGTCACCCGTTTCTAACTGGCATCGATCTCCTCCAAATGCTCAGAGAGAAAATGTCTCTTGTTGAAAGTCAGCTCGACACAACAGCTTCTTGTTCAAGTTTATTCCACGTGATGCAAAAAGCATTTTGTTCCTCGTGTTGATGCTTGGAGGCCAGTTGAGTCAGGCTCCTCTTCACATCGTCTCTGTGTCCTTTCCCTCGGTGGGATGTAAATAATGCTGAATATTTATGATAAAAAGTTTGTGTGAAAGTGAAAAGTTTGTCCTCAGTTGCTGCAAACTGGTGCACGTGGATCTTCGGAACTTTCTCGGGGGGGAAAAAGTCGAAAGAAACAGTGAGCCGGACGCGCCGCCTTCACACGAACGGGCTGTCCGACCCGAATATGTCCGGGTAGCTCTTCCCGTTCATGTGCTCGCTGTGGCTCTCGATGCTGTAGCAGCGGTGGACCTCTGTGAGCGACGTCGCCACGAAGGAGGCCGAGCGGAGGAAGCCGGCGTTGGCGAACGTGCCGGCGAACTGCATCCGCTGCTGGTTCCAGTGTCTCCGCAGGACACTCTGGACCTGCAGGAAGAGACATCTTTGGGAAAACCAGCAACCCAACAACTCCAAGCCTGTCCCCTGGAACCGTGAATCCAGGCCTGAAACGTGGGACTGTTTGTTTGTTTGTGCTCAGTACTCACCTCCCCGTTGAAGAAGCAGAATATCGTAGAAACCAGGAGGCCCTGCACGAGCAAAACAAGACAGGAAATCCCCTCAGCTCAAACATCTGCCTGCTGTGTCACACGTCCGCGCTCTTATTGGTGGAGTGTTTGCCATTGGGTAATTGAAGACATCGACGCATCCCGGGCCGGTTGCGGCGGCAGCACTTTTAATAGCACTCCGTTATTGTCTGGGGTTTCGCTCCCCGTGGCCGTGCGCTCACCTGGTAGTGCATGAGGATTTCCATGATGTACTGGTAGATCTCAACCACCCAGTGATTCTGGGGCTTGTAGGGGAGCAGGACAAACTGGATGCCGAGCAAGGGGATGAGGATGAGGGTGGCCCTCACCGCCCTCATGTACAGGCTGGACTCGGCCTGGTGCGTCACCCTCAGCTTGGTGATGAGAACCCGGATGATGTTCAGCAGGAAGAAAAGATTCACCTGGAACGCAAACGCCAATAATCTCCTTTACCAAGATGATCACTTTCAACAAATCCCTCAGAACAAGCGAGAAGGAAGGCCGCGCAACGGGGGGGGGGTGTGGGAGGTAACACCCACGGGGGCTCGGCGCTTACCACCAATGCAGCGCAGATGGGTCCGTGGATAATGTACAGCAAGGAAGTATCCGAGCTGACCCAACATCTGTGAACGCATGAATCAGATCATGGTATTACAGCGGGTGGACACACTCGACTGGGGTACAGTGATGAGCGGCAGACGGAGGAGGCTCACTTGTCGTTGTAGTAGCACTGACGTGCTACTGAATGTATCACCGCCGGCACCATTGGGAAACCTGCCGGACAGAATCGCGGCGTCAACGGCCTTTCAGCGTGGAAAGACTGAAATGTGGCGCATTGACGCGCCGCTTTACTCACCCCAGCCCAGCAGGTAATACCACATGAGGTGCTGTTTTTCTGCAAACACCGCCACAACAATCAGCGTGTGCAGGTAGATGCCCTCGCACAGCATCCAGAAGTAGTTGCAGCTCAGCAGGTACAGGTGGACGAACATGAGCAGCTTGCAGCTCGCCTTTGGGGGGGAAAAAGGAGCCGATCACCATCACACTGACTGACGCTGGGAATGTGGCGCCGGCGGCGCGCTGGGCCCCGCGGAGTCACTCACAGAGTCGCTGTTGGTGTGTCCCTGTTTCTTCACCACCGTCGTGAGCCAGACCACGGTGATGATGGAGTTCAGCACGAAGGAGAGGAAGAGGTTCTTGTGCAGCGTTATCCGCTGGCAGCTCAGACTCCTGCGAGGGGGGGACGTCTCAGATTAGACGTGGATTCCCACCTGCACCACTTTGACTCCAATTTGACCCGCCGCACTTACTTAAAATGGAAGAATATTCCTAACGATATGAACAGCGACACCAGCGACAGGCCGTGACCAATCATGACCAGGTAGAAGTGAGTCATTGCATCCTGCAAGAAAGGAAAATGAGTGCAAATCCGCCGTCGAATGTGCTTCAGACGCTTGTGTTGTCTTCATTCCTCCTTACCGTCCCGTGATGTATTGAGTTGTCTTGGCAGTTTGTGAAGTTTGTCCACGTCCTTTTGCTCGTCGGGTGGCGTCCCCACTCGCCGGTCTCTGAGCACACTTTGGACGCCATCGCTGTTGGCAAGTTTGCAAGCGCGGTTTTACACTTCCGTCCACGCAGAATGAGCGACCACTCGTGAGCCGATTAGAGGCGATGAGAGCTTTGGTGGTTTACCCACACATCACCCAAAGACTAGGATGCACAGAGGTCTTTTACCCTCTCAACTAAACGCAAATGTTAAAAGTCAGTAATGTTAGTGGAGGTTAGCGACTAAATTTACCATGAGGATCAAAGTCATTGTAGTAGTCCGGACAGCTCTGCTCTATTGGTCCGGGCTCGGTCTCGTACCAGCACAGCCACCCGTCCCACGTTGTGTTACACACCGACCCTCCTGGCGACAACGGACACACGGTGAAACGTTGCACTGACTTAATGAGAATTCTGGGAACTTGTCAACGAGACGGTCCTTTCACCTATTGTTTTGCCCTCACGCTGAGATTCTCTCATAATCCTCTGGAAACATTCATACTGGGCCGTGGCGATTTGGTTCCGCGTCACCTTGTGTTCACCCCGATGGTTCAGATGGTCCTGGTGGACGTCTTCGGGGCTCGCTGCCACGAGCAGCTGTGGAGAGATGATGGAAAGTCAGCATGCAGACGCAAACAGATACCCAAGTAAACGAAATCACAGTGCAACTGTCGAGCGAGAGCAAAAGCACACGGGACCTTTCTGTAAAGGAGACGTGCTCCGTTAAAACAGAGCTACCTTGTTGAGGGCGCACAGGACCAGCAGCCGGGTGAAGCAGTTTGGATCCATCAGTGCTCGGATGACCACAGGGACTCTGAAGATTGTTTGTGACTGGGGAAAGGAAAACATATGGAGACCCGAGTGTGACCGTTGACTCAAAAGTCATGTAAACAAAAAAAAAAGTTTTGGAAATTTCAAAGGCAGTTCTCCCTTTTGGGGGGATTACAGATCTGTGCGTTCGCTTCCTCTGCTCTCCACGGCTTCCTTCCTGCATGATTATTAAGCACATTGAGCTTAACCAAGGTTGAATGTGGCAAATGAAGCAAAGGCATGTGCTGCAAAGTCCCGATACAGATACAAGTTATGCAACTTCTGGGTGTCTGCAGCCTCTGTGACAGTGGAAGTGATAGAAATAGGAAGAGCAGTAAGAAGCAAAAATATGTTCCTCTTTGTTGCTGCACAGAATCAAATCTGATTCATTGTGAGGAAGAATGTGTGGTTGATAATCCACATGACAAGTTCAAAAGCACATAGAGACGACATGTGTTATATGTTATGAAGCAAAGAGATAATTTATTATATATATATATTCTATACTTGTTGCTGGGATGATTTTCATTACATTTTACTGTGTAAATAGTACATTTAGGAAGTACCTTTTCTGTTTTTCTACCCCTTTGCACGTTTAGGTGTATGTGAGTAACATTTCACTGAGAAATGTGACATTCAAAAAGAAAACTTGAACCAAAGAGCTTGAACATCAATCGAGAAACCAGCGAAAATGACAAAAGCAGTTTTACCTTGCCGAGTATTCCTTTGGTCTGAGAGTTTAGCGGCTCTTCACAGGTAGTCCATCAGTGTGTGTTCGCCAGCAGAGCCAAAGGCAACACTGAGCTGTCCTGATCCGAGCCGAACGGGGCTGAGGATGACATCACATCCTTGCTTTTTATGGAGGCAGATACAGGGACACCCCTGCAGTCTTATGGGGAGTGAAAACCACTGAAGCAATGATTGACAGTCACACTGGACTGTTTGTAATATGCATGATGTGATATACAATGCACAGTAAACCTGAATTAGCTTCAGAGTCTGTAAATTATGAACTTAATAAATGTACTTTATTGCATAAGGTGCAAGCTGTTACTCAGAGTTTTTAATCCTAACAAGCTCCCCGAAGGAATCTTCGATCTAATAGATCGCAGACTGTCACATCTGTTATAAATATGTATTTACTGTGAAAGAACAGCATTACTTGTTGCTGCTGAGAATCTGGAGGCACAAAACTCACCAGTGAGCAAGAGGGATTCCATCAGTTAGCAACGGCTCCCTCTGCAGGTCAAACGCTCTCCTGCACCCTGCGGGTTACCATGGTAACGGCCCTCCGGCGGTTACCACGGCCACGGTGTTGTTGTTACGGTACCGGTCGCCCCTGAGGTTTTCCTCGACAAAGAGAGGGACTTTTTAAAACGTGAGTCCCTCCCCAGGTAAGTTTGTTGCTTCCTTTGAACGAGTTACCGGCTCTTTTCTTCACAGCTGCACTGACAGAGAAGTTAGAAGAGGTGCATGGAATTAATGAATTAACAAACTCACTCAAGTTAATCAATCACATGCATATCGTCGCGAGGAGTCCATAAGATTTTAATGAAAAAAAGACTGATGTGACGTGTAAGTGATGGTCTTTGGTGGCACCTGCAACGCACTTTATATGGGGATCAGTGGATCCTCCATTGCACGTCTTCAACTGCTGCAAAATGCGGCTGCGCGCCTTTTAACTGGCACACGGAGGTTTCACTCCACCCGTGCGTTTTAGAATTTATTTTAAAATTCTTTTATTTGCTTTTAAATCTCTAAATGGTCGTGCACCCCCTACACACCCAGCCGGTCTCTCGGGTCAGCTGACCAGCTGCTCCTGAGGGTTCCCAAAACGAGGCTGAAGCTCAGAGGGGACCGAGCATTTTCTGCTGCCGCTGCACATGAGACCTCCTCACTGTCTAATTCCAACTCTTTCCTTTGGCTTTTAACAAGGTTGTTGATTTTATGTGCACAAGTATTTTATCTGGGGAGGACAGTGGATTTATTTATTATGTTTTATTGTGTTTATTTTATCGCACAGCACTCTGGGAACCTTTGTGTTCATTTTAACTGTGCTTTATAAATAAAATGGATTCGATCGGATAAAATGGGTTGTACCATGAATTCAAAGCTATTTTTATTTCGCTTTATAACCGTAAGCTATTCAGTATTTAACTATTTCCACAGACATTTTAAGATAGATGTTTCCATTGCTGAGGCAAAACCCAAACAGAACAAAACATTTATTAAAAGTTTGACCTGAAGTTTATTAGGTGATTTATTTTAGCCACAGTTCTGCGTCTGTTGGTCTCTTCCAATGATTGATGAATGTCTTTATGCAGCGGCGAGATGTTTCGGAATACTGCTCGCAGGAGCACAGCCAGTGAATCAGTGAGTCTCCACCAGGACCAGGCCCTCAACACAACCATATTCCTCCTCAAGTCCTTCGGCCCAACCGGCTTTCTACTCCGAGAGGACGGGGAGGTCGGGGACGTCAGGGTAACGTCACGTCATTCAGAGAATCGGGACGCACGTTGATCGGACGCCAGAAATCCCAACTGTGTTTGTGTGGTGTTCAGGTGTCCTTGGGGGACCCACATGCGTGCACCTGCCCTGCGTTCACCAAGGAGCAGGAGCCATGCAAACACATCTGCTGGTACCAATGGCACACACAAAGAGAACAGTTCTTATTGAAAACCATGGATTTATTAGTTTTGTTCCAGGACCTAATGACTCGGACTGATCGTTTTTTGAAACTTTTCGACCACCAACTGCGGCCATAAAATATTTTCAGAGAACTAACCTGTAATATTTGTCACCACAGGGTTTTACTGCGGAAATTCCGACTACCCAGAGAACATGAATGTAAGCTGCTTATATCAAATGCTAATTTGTTGCATACCTGTCAGTTAAATTCTCAAACAAATCATTTTAAACTAACAATTCCTTCTCAACCTGTTTTATATGGACACCACAAGACTGAAATAAACATGTCTCTCAGCATATTATTGTTTGTAGGAAATTTGAATGAATTGACTGTGAAAAAAATAAAGAAAAGGTCTCTAGATTCCTTTCAGCGTGGACTCGTGGACAGACAGATCCTGGAGTTGCTCCACGGTTTGCATCAAACCAAAGGCCAGCAGGCAGAAGACGGTACTCTGAGCCAAGCGGCCAGCGGCCCGCAGGCTGGACGCGTCTGCCGGAGACCCATCCAAGCCCAGGACGTGTGTCCCATCTGCCACGAGGCGCTGCTGCTGGAGAAAGGGCAGCCTGTGTCCCACTGCAGGCGCGTTTAGGGGGGGCGCGTAGGGGGTCGATCTACTGAGTTATTGTCAGTCCACGTATGGGGCCACATCCAACACACGGAGCGTTCATGTCGCCGTCCTCGCCCCTCGCAGGTTCGGCTGTGGCAACAACATCCACATCTCCTGCATGCAGGTGTGGGCGGAATACCAGGGGCTGTCCGGCGGGGCGGACGCGGTGAAGTGTCCCCTGTGCAGGGAGGACTTCTGCTCCCTGCAGCTGCTCCGGGAGCAGGCGAGAAACGCAGCGAAGCTCTTCACCGGCTCTGAGAGGGAGAAGCCGAACAGACACCTGGGGGTCCGGTGCCAAGGCTGCCGGCTCGGCCCGGTCACCGGCAAATGTTTCAAGTAAGCACGCGTTGGTCCGACAGGTGCATTTTGTGCATGACGTGAGGGATTTGATCTCCTGTTTAATTCAGTGTAACGTCTCCTTTCATCTGTTGTCCTCTTTCCAGATGCACGGTCTGCAGTTACTTTTACCTCTGCGAGGACTGCGTAAAGAAGGGAAGCCACCCGCAGCATCCACTTGCGTCACGAACAGTAAGCTCATTTAGTCCGCCCATGAAAAGCAACGGTTCAGACAACGCGACACCAGTGCTAGTTCTAATAAAAATGTCCGATGTCTGCCACAATAACTAAAACACCCGACTAAAAAACGTAAATAAACTTTAGTAAACCTCAAACAGAAAAGGATGGGAACGTGGCACCTTGTGCCCGAAGACCCGAAGGATGAAGCGCCGGGTGCAACGTCCCAGTCAGCTGATGACAGGTGAGCTGTTAAAATACACCAAAGAGGAGCCTTTCTTTGTTCCACCCGTTTGACACAAAGTCGCGGTAAGTTGCCCGCGACCACATTGTCACTGACTTTATAAAGTGAAGCTTTGCTCGTCCCCGCACCGGCTTCGCAGCATCGTACCTGCGGCTGCACAGCCTCTCCCACAATACGTGTTGGACCGCCTCCCCACTGTGAGGGTGAAGCCGGGCTCTCTCCTCTCAGACGTGGGTCAGCAGTGTCGGATCTGTCTGCTGGAGTTCAGCCTGGGCCAACGCGTCCGAACCCTCCCCTGCCATCACAAGGTGAAACCTTATTATCTCATCTTTAGAATGAAAAAAACAAATTGTGTGCCCATGCATGCAATATAGACACACTTAATGCATAATGTCGCCCTCTCCCCCCCACACACTTCAGTTCCATGCCGACTGCGTGGACGAGATCCTGCGCAAGTGGAACTCCTGCCCCGTGGACGGATACGTCCTCCACAACCGCTGTGCTCGGAGGAGGACCGGGGAGACAAAGCCCTCCCCGTCGGGCGCCGATGCAAACCCACCAGGCGATGACTTAAAGGGCCTGTTTGTTCCGGGAGTGGCACTGGGGGGCAGGAAGCCCGGAGTCGCCCCCGGCGGCCCCCCGCGGTCCACAGCTGATGCGGACCCTCGGACGGAAGAGAGGCAAAGAAAGGAACCTGCGGGGAATCCCAAAGGCAGCTCTTCTCCCAACAAGCATGGCGCAGTGACGGAAATCAGGGGGCACCCGCGGCCGGACCTTTTTGTGGGGGGGCGTCGCCCCGAACCACGTCACCCAGCTGTAGCCGGGCCGTCCGGAACGCAACCCCAAAAGGACGGACAGCATTCAAGATACAAGCAAGCGACTCATACAGACAGACTCGGACAGCAACGAAACCACTAGATATGTGTGTAAGCATTTAAGCAGTGAGATGTTTATCTGATACGAATAATAAAAGCGCCTGAACAGTTATTGGTATCAAGTGAGTTTATTCATTTAGTGCACAAAAAAAGACTAAGAACACTACCATTATCACAGGTGAACACTAGCGGAGCCCATTCAGGGAAAAAGTGAAACCATCGAGCTCCGATGGCGAGACACGAGCAGAGCACACGACAGAACACGTTCAGGTCAATGCGGGTACATTCAGCGAGACCTGCGCTGGACAGCGGCAGCGGCTTCGGATTGGCTCAGAGGTCACCAGCCGTGTGCTGCGTTCAGGAGCAGCGGGAGAAAGCGGCCTTCGTCTGAATGATCGGCGCTGAACTAGTCGGGGGGATGTCGAGTCAAAAAAGCTGATGTCGTAATCTGTCAATCACTCACCGCAGCTCCGAGACGTCGGCTTTTGCATTAAAGAAAGAAGTAAAATCACGGCCACGACACGTAGTGCTGCTTTACTGCACACATACAAAAGAACACGTGAACGTGACTACAAGTCTTGTGACTTCACAAAGTGAACTAATCAGTGAACAAATGTACAATATGATGGAAGACTAAATATGGCAAAACGCTTTCTGTACAGTTCCGTTTAGATCGATGGGTAATATTGCTAGCAAAACTACGTTTGTGGTGAATGTTTTGCCAAACCGCGGGTACGGCCGATGACGTCACTGTATGCACTCTGACGGTGCGACGTGCCGGTGTGACGAATGGGCACAGTGTTAAAGTGTAGTGTGCATTATTTGACTTTGAGACAAAAGCTGCTGACCCCTGAAGGGCTTTTTTGTTTAACAAAGATGAATATTTCCGATTAAGAAATGGTTTCAAATTGGTTTAACAGTGTTGAAATGTTGCGCTGATGATGGTGGAAAATGAAAGTTATTAGAACTGATTCTGAAGGAGGCATAAATTCATCTAAGAGTTGATGAAACATTTGACACAAAACCACTTGAAAAGGATAAAATCAGACCAGGCTTCATTCTCTGGGGATGTCTGTACAAAATTGGATTTTAAAAAGCTCCAATTGAAAAATCTATTAAAACTATCTCTCTGTTATTCAAGAAAACCAAACACACCATGAAGTCAGGAAGTAATTCTATTATTGTCAAAGTATTAAGATGTTTGCAGGCACAAAATTAATGTTATACAATCACAAAGGACAGCACTGTTAAAAATAAAAGAAAGACAATGTGTAACTTAAGGGGTCTGAGCTGAGCTGCGTGTTATTGTTCCGTTAGTTACGTCTCCTTCCAGGACCACGAAATGAAACATTCATTCACCAGACGATCAAACGGCTACGAGGATCTAAAGTCAGCGCGACGGTAAAAAGCTAAATATTTTCATACACGCGAGGAGACATTCATGCATTCTAGAAGAGCAATAGGCTCGAAAACTTTACTAACTTTTGAAATGGCAGCTTTGCTTCACGACGTACGACCGCGTTTTAGTCCAATAATCCATCGGAGTCGGTGGAAGGCAGAAAGATTCCACAAATTCCACATCTCGCACATTCCCAATGAGATCTCCGTTGTGCACACGGGGGGGGGAGCTTCCCTCCCTTATTTCATTTACGGCAGGCATTGGTGGTGAGGATAAGTGCACTACACATCGCCCCGTATCTGCAAACTCACCACATTGGACGAAATTCTATCACACCGGCTGGTGACCTCGCTGGTGACCTCCGGGTCGCGAGAAGATGAGAGAACGTGGTGCAGCTACATGGTGCTTCGACGTGACACAGATGCCGCGGTGCTTCTTGAGCTAGCGCGTGAATTCTTTGGCACAGTTGTACAACCACGTGACCCAACAACAACAACGATGCCTGCGTGAGCACGAGTAGTAAAAAGGGGGTCTGGAGGACACGTTTCACTCAAACACCGATGATAAGCGCGTGTCCCCGCTCAGAGCGCCGGGCTTTAGCTCCTCTTGGTCAGCGGTCTCGCCTCGCGGACGTGCTTGGCGCTCCTCCTGTCCGTCTTCCCCTTCTCCCTCACCTTCCTCAGGCGGCGCGGGGGCGGGGTTTCCCTCGACTCGCTGTCCTCCTGGGCGCTGGACGTGTCCATCCCGTCTCGCTCCTCGGGGATGTTGGGGATGGCCCCGCTGCTCCCGTCCAGAATGTTCCTCAGGGAAGGGTCCTCCGGCGTGCAGGTGGCCGTGGTGCCGCTCTCGCTGCTGCTCAGGTCCTGGTCTTCGCCGTAACGCGGCCCCCGGCCGTGGTACGGCAGGGAGGAGGCCCTGGTCGCCCGCCGCTCGCGCTCCATCTCGCGGATGCTCTGCAGGGGCTCGTTCATGTCCACCCCCGAGTCCAGGCTGGTGTCGTTGCTGCTGGCCGGACGGCGGCGGTTCTGGAGCTCAATGATGGAGTGGCGGACCTGGGCGGCCGGCTTCCCGTCCAGAGACACGAACCAGGCCCTCGGGTGAGACTTGCCCCGGCCGGCCGCCTCGTTGAGGGTCCCGGGCACTGAGACGGAGGATTCCAGGAGGTTGTTGTAGCGCCCCCACAAAGCGCCGTTGGGGCCTTGGCCCTGGGGAGGGGTCTCCAGCGGCTGGGGCTCATCTTGGCTGCCCTGCTGTTGGCCGCCGCCACCTTGGGGGTGGTGGTGAGGGACTTTGGGCAGCGTCTGCTCCGAGTGGGGATCGTACTCGCCTCCGTTGCGGGGGAAAGTAGCGGCCTTGCAGCCCGGCGGCTCCTGGGCACCTGGCGCCTGAGCAACGGCCGCCGGCTGGCTGTAAAGATGGACCATCTTATCCTGAAAGAAGCTGTCAGAGTTCATGTTGGCCGACCTCTCCCGGAGCCGAGCCACCTCCTCGCCGTTGATGTAGTGCGACGGCGGCTGGGAGCCTTTGAGGCGGTCCAGAGCGATGTTCTCGTAGAGCGGAGCCGTCGGCCGGCTCCCCGGATCCTCCACGTAGATGTTGTAGGTGGCCTTGTGCCTCGGCGTGGACGAGGGGTCGCACTGGACGCTGCAGGAAGCGAGGCTGTTGTCGCCAGAGCGGAACAACAAACCCTCTTCCATGTGGGTGGAGGTGGTTTGGTCTTTTTTCACCACGCTGAGTTTGGAAAAACGGGCTCTCCTCCCCCTGGGCTGTCGATGAGAACTTCTCCTTCATGGAAGAAAGAGGATTTTATTAGTTTCATATGGTTGTTTCCCATATTGTTCACCTACAAGACATTTACTTCTAATTATTACGTGCATTTATTTAGGTATTGTATCATAGTGGAATTTCCTTTTGTCTTTTTTAAACAGCCTGAAGCCCTAAAACAACTATTAGAGATTTCCATATAACTTCTGTAACCTTTAAAATTCCGAACAATCGATGAGCTTGTTTCAGGAATCAGGAAACATTTATTGCCAAAATATGTCAAACATACAAGGAATTTGCCTTGGCGGTTGGTGCGTGACAGTAGACAGTGTAACAATAGACAACAAGACAGCAGTGCAGTAAGTAATAAAATAAAATAAAATAAAATAAAATAAAATAAAATGACAATGCAATGGGTTAGTAGAATAAGCTGATGGGCTAGTATAAAATAAGAGAATAAAGTTTAAATTAAAAATTAAAAATATTTTAAAAGTTAAAAAATATTAAAAATAAAGTGCACTATCAATCAGGTGACAAAGTGACGAGTGAAAAATGACAGTTAAAGTGACATGTGCAGTACATACATTCATAAACGATTAATGAAGTCTTCCTAAATAGAATCCAAGAAATGCCAATCAGACCTGGCCACACCATTGGGGGAGGGGCCTTCTCACCTGCAGTGACACAGCAGCAAGGAGAGGAATGCGATCGCTACGGCCAGCGTTGCTCCCAGTATCCCCATCAGCAGGTACGTGTGGTAGGACACAAAGTCAATGGAGAATCCACGTCCTGCCAAATAAACACGCTCACTTTTAGGGACATGAAACACTGTCGATGCGAATGTTGCGCAGACGAGGTGTGTGTACCGCTCGACGAGGGCAGGGGGGCCGCGATCCAGTGGCCCAGATGGGAGGCGGTGTAGGTCCAAACCAGCTCCTCCCCCACAGCTTTCACTATCCCCAGACCCTGATTCTCCCAGGCTCCTGTTGGTCGTGTACATGGCGGCACTTTACTGAGCATGTGTGTTTCCTGTTTTCTTTTAACCCGGGGGCTTCTCTTCGGTTGTTACTCTACCTGTCTGCAGGTTAAAGGCCCAGGCCGGCACAGTGTCCGAGGCCCTCAGGCGCGAGCTGTGTCTCAGGGGGAGGCTGATCTGAATGGGCCCCCGGACCTGCAGCTCCTCCCCGCCGGAGTACAGCAGCACGCTGACCGCTGCCACCGCCTTCAGCGCGACGCTTCTGACTGCTGCAGAGACGGGGCGGGGGGGGGGGATGCGTTAGAATTACCATTCACAAATGGGACGAAAACAAAAACTGTTGTTAGTAAGGCTCCTTTAAAGCTCACGCGACTGTCTGCTGACGATGCCCGGCGTGCAGTTGGCGCAGTCCAGGTGTTGCCGCGGTACGGTCAGGTACGCCGTCACCGTGGAGACGTTGCTCTTGTCGGAGATGGCGAGGAGGTCCTTGGGGAAGCAAACCCTGGGCGGGGACGAGCGGTCTGCAGAGACAAAGACGGCACTCGTTGTTCTTCTCGGCTGGTTTAGACGGCGGTGAGCCGTTAGAAGGGCGCCAAACCTACCGGGGAACTTGCCGGTGATGAGCACGGCGTCTTCAAACAGCCAGATGTCGCCCTGACTGTGAGGGAGCAGCAGCAGCGTCACAGCAGAGAAGACTGCAGGATGACAAACCAAAATAAATATATACATGACAAACATGACATATTTTAATGGCATTACGAGGCCCTTTTTTGCCATTTTACATACTGTAAAAAGGTTATATGAAAAATTACACTCTTCTTTCTTAAGTGATTTTTAACCAGGAGGGTTCTCTGTTTGGACGCAGCACGAGCTGTTGTTGATGAATTGGAGGTCTTCCAACCGCCAGCAGGTGGCGACGGTGCCTCCGTCCTCTGCTCAGGGCCCCTGAGGGAGGGGCCTCCGAATACGGAGCGGGTCTCCACAGATGATGCTCTTTCATCATCCGTCTCCCACCTGCTCCGTCTTTGTTTCTGCTTTGGGCGACGGCGCCGACGAGTAAGAGGACGTGTGAACACAAACAATCGAGTCCCCCCCCCTCTCTGACTTTAAGGACAAAGACAGTTTGCTGATGCGGGGGTGTGTTTCCTGGACAGACCTGCTGCTGCTGGAGAAAGGGTCAATAAAATGACGGCAACGTGAATTGCTTCATCAGGAAAAACCCTCAGTAACAAGTTGCAGACATTCTTCTGTGATGGCCATGAGTAACGCAGTAGAGGAGATATTGGACTCGAAAATGATTGCACAGCCCAGCAAACGTATAATTTCATCAGTTTTAGAGCTTTTGCAATAAACCGTAATACCACCATAACGTTTGCATGGCTAAAATGGAACAAAAACCAGAAAGTTGATTAAAGTGAGCGCAGATTTCTGCAAAATGCCATTTTCTCCTCTTTTACGCTCCAACTGATGTGTGTTGGCTAATCGCCCCTCCCTCGTCTCTTTGAGGGGGGGACGAGGCCACAGCCTCACGTCACACGGGCCGGGGTTAAAGAGACAAAGACACATGGAGATGTCAGGACGGGCAGAAGGTCTGAGAAGTACTCGTGGGCGTTACTCACTCGGCCTCTTGGCGGTGCTCCAGGGGAGGGGCGTGGGGACGTAGCCCCCCATGTGGCCCAGCAGAGTCAGACTGAGTCCTGGACTGTACGCTACCCAGAGCAGAACCTCCCCGCTCGGCCCGGTCCGGGAGGAGCTCCTCAGGGTGTGGTTGACGTAGACGTCCACTGAGGCCCCCGGGAGCGGCTGCCGGGTCACCTGGTCCTTCACGAGGACCTTCAGGGCAAACTGGGGCTCTGCAGAGAAACGCGTTTTTTCATTGACACTCAAGTCCCTCTATAGAGGGCCTTTTTTTGGACCAACCCTCTGCGGAATCCGATCTATAGTTTGGTTTTGGTAAGCTGTCAGCGTGGTGGGTTAGAAGCAGCCTCACTTCCTCTCAGCGGTATTCGGTAACCTTCCTCTCACCATGAAAAAGTGATGAGGCAGGCACAGCTGAGCCGGGGGGGGGGGGGGGGGGGGGGGGGGGGAATACATCATAACCCGTGTTGTCTTCCATTCCAACACACACTCAGGAGCAGGCAGCATTTAAACCTGATACTTTGCAACGCTTTATATTTATTTTATTTATCTTATCTTTTAATCTCTTGCAAAATACAATGCATTTTGTGGATAAGAACTAGAAAGTCGCAGAAAGGAGTGTGAGTTTTCTTATTGCTGTGTGTAGCGATGGATGCATTGAGCTCAATGAGGCAGACAACACCAGTGGTGTGTGAAATCTGACACTAATGTTGTAGCTGGACTTAGAAAGCATTCAAGTAGTGTTTAGTTATCTTGATAGTGTGCCTCCATCCATGATCATTATATATATACACACACACACACAGAAGCTACTGTATCAGCAGCGCGGGATTACCATGCTCTCCATTAATGCATCACCTGCTTAGTCCTCACCGATAAAACCCCCTAATCCCCCAAACCTCCACATTACACCTACTTCTTAATCCTGTTGGCCCCTGAGTGCATCAGCAGGAATAACTGGCCATTCTACAGCTGGATTTAACTAAAAGAAATGCTGTTTAAAACCTATTTAGAAACATAAACAACATTTTTGACCCACACAAATCACAAAAAAAACTGCGGCGGACCTCATTTTGACATCGGATTTGAGGAGATCACACAGTGCGGAACCCGGTTCAAAAACAAACGTTCAAGGTGCAGCCCGATCCGGAGTCACGCCGTTTCCATCCGCTCTAACAATGACCGGCTGGCGGGGAGCTCGTTTCTCTTCTTTTGTTTACCTTCCATCGCAGCGGAGGGGCTGACGAGCCGCCCCGGGCCGGTCGCTTCGGCGGCGGGGGGGTCCGCGACCGCGAGGCCATTGTCCCCGGGAGATGAGGAGGAGGAGGAGGAGGAGGGCAGGCCGCCACCCTCCTCCTCCGCCGCTGCTGCCGCCGCTCCCACCGCCCCATCCAGGCACCAGATCAAAAGCAACGACGGCAGGAGGAGAAGCAGCGGCCTCGGCGGGGGGGAGCGTTCGGCGGCGGGCATGGCGAGAGGGGGCCCGGGCCCAAAGACATTACGGACCGCGACGCGCCTGCTCCACGCGAGAAGAACCAGGTTCCTCAGCGCCACGGCCTCGTCCCTCTCGTGGCTTCTGGCGATGGGGTGGGTGGGGGTCGGCGGCGTGGAGCCCCGTGGAGATGCGCTGGTGCTGAGGCTGGGCGTGTGTGAAGAACGAAGATCGTGTATCACGTCGAGAGGCGTCACGCGGCCGGAAACGCACGGCGTCACGAGGCGTTTGATGAGGCGACAAAGGATTTGATACGCGGCTACGACTTGGTCACTGGCTGCTTTTTCTTGTAGCGCTGATAAACGGAATTTCTACTTAACATTTTACTCTACTGCAGAAAGAAAACGGCGCAGAGTGAGAGCTCTTCCCGTCTGGATCTTTGGTAAGACTGGAGATGCGGTTACATCATCGGGGCCCGCGTGGCCCTCTGTCGGTAACCGGAGGTCCTTGGTCACCTTTTATCATCTCGGCTCAGGCAAATAAACAATTGTCTGTTGGTCCCATTCTTTTGATTTGTATGTAGATTTTATTATTATATATGTACGACTGCGGATTTGAAGCCTTGTTGTCTTCTTTCAAAGATTCAGCCTTTCCAATTTACTTTGATTATACATTTTGTTCTGTTGGAAAAAGGCAAACTTGGTGGAGAACAAAACTTTTAACACAATATACAACGTCTAGGCATTTTTATTATTTTCCACGTGTCCATTTTTCTACACAAGCTTTCCTTCGATGTCCATGCATCTCTTAGGTCACCAAGACAACCAGTGGAATCCCAAACAAAGGCCCAAAAAAAAAAAGCCTCTTTCAAAATAACACACAGACAAATAAAACACACGTTGTCGCCTCGGTCAGGTCAATAGAAGATGAAAGACACGCACACAGTTTGCATAAGGCACCGAGACAGAGGGAGGAGCATCATCTCTGAGGAGCGCTGAGGTTTGTCGAAATCAACATGGAAAATGGACTGAGAAACGTTAACGAGCAATGAAAGCATTGGGGCTGAACGCTCAAAGAAAATATTTATTTGCATTACAAAAGAAGCAGATTTGGTTAAAAGCTTTTACCACAGGACATTTCTAAATGCAAGTAATGCATCATGCACGTGGGACTTCCGTCCACCGGACGACAAAGACGAGCGACATGAATAATGGGGCAGCCAGCCGTACATTTATTCACATTGGGACTCGACCGCGATTCGAGACATCGTCCACTCGTCTGTGAAGTCACAGTCAACAATTTAATACACCAGTTAAACTGCACAACTTCATTTCAATCAGTGAATCTAAATGCACACCAGCTACCAATAAATATTAAAATTGTAGTGTGAACACGTGGAGTCATATGTACCACCTGGTTAAAGGGGCATTCCACCAACTCCCCACATCATACCAGTGGGGATGTCATGGGGGGGGGGGGGGGGGGGTTGCAGCGTTACTGTGACATCACCAGTCGCTCGTCTGCGGTCGGTTCCCCTTCAAATAATAAAGGACTCTTTCTCTCCAAACCCCCTCAGCCCTCACGCATCCCCTCTGTACTCGTCGGCTGGCAGCTCAGCGTGACGGCTTGAAACACGGGCCCTAAGATGATGAGCGGCGAGGATGGCGTGCGTTTAAATGGTTTCCACATTCCGTTACAGGAAGTGGATTTGAGGTTCAAAAGGCCCTGATTTTCTCTCTTGCGATGTGACTGCTTTCCACGTGAAACAACCCCTCTGCTTGCTTTACATTTACATTTTTGTTCTTTTCTTTCTCAATCAGATCTGATAAAAGCACAAGCTTACAGTTCTTGAGATTTCTTTAAAAGCTAGGACCTAAAATTGTTCGATTGGTTAATGTTTTTGTCTCGAGAAACACAACATCGATGGAATCAAACACTGCAAGTTTACTACATTTCATAGGATTACATTTATCAGGCAGTCGTCCAATTATCGGAGTTTTCTTCATGTTGGAAGTCAAAAGTCGCCTGAAGAAGAAGAAGATGAAAAGACCCAATACCCATCAGCAGATCTCCAGGCACTCGTCCGACTATCTTAAGGCTGTGCAAGTACCTTCATACCTGTACAATAATACGTTTTCATTTACATTGGATCATAAAAAAAGCAAAGCTTGTACTTGGAGGCTTAGTGAAAGTCATGAGGGAGAATCCAGAACACCTCCAGCCCGCCGTCGCTCCTTCTCCCCATGGTGCAGTCGTCTGTATGTCAGTGCAGGTCATGCTCTCTTTTCCCAACAACGCACCATCTCTATCTCACACACACACACACACGCGCGCAAACACACACACACACACACACCGCCTGAAGGAACTAGGATTTGGGTGCAGACGCTTTCCAAAGCGGCTTGTGATAGACCCAACCGTCGCCCTGGTGGAGAAGAGGAGACTAGCGTCAAAAAATGTGCATCAAGAGAGTCGGAATGGTTATTTAAATAACGGGGAACGTCTACAGCGTTGGTGACGGGAGGAACAGCTGTATCCTTTTGCCGTGTTTTGATGGACAGCGTTTCATAAGCAGTTAAAAGAGAGTAACCCGGACTTAGAATCATCCCTGGTCTCACCTCTCGGTCAAAGTGTCTGGTCCTCCAAGTCGTCTCAGTCTCAGCCCGGTGCCTCTCCTCCGCCCGCTGCCTCTCCTCCAGCATCCTCTTGTGCTCCGTGGCCTTCTCGATGTCCTTCTGCCGCAGGGCCTCCGTCACGTGCTGCCACAGGCGCCTGAAAACAAGGCGTGGCGAGGGGGGGTCGAGTGAGTAAACCCTCAGAGCCGTGCTCGCCGCCTTGGGACCTGCTGCCCGCCAATCACAAGCCACCTGGATTCAGTCGGCCCCTGCTTCTCGATCGGCCGGACGCTCTTCTTGGAGACGGGCAGCTTGGTGACGTCGACGCCTCTGGTCTCCCCGCTGGCGTAGCTGAACTCCAGGGCGCCGTTCCACTCGCCCTGCACGCGACACACCACCGCGTTGGTGCCGTTGTGCTTCACCTCCCCCGTGACTCTGCGTGAAGGCAGCGCAACGAGATGAACGCGTTATTCTCGGAGGCTGCGGAGAGAGAAAGTACCGCGGATTTGGATTTGAACTCACTTGTGTAATTTGCCACCGTAGAACGGTTTCGTCTGGAAAGTGATGACCGCCGAGTAGCCGGATTTGGCGCAGTTGATGTTGACTTTACCGCCCAGTTCCACCCAGGGCACGGTGAGGATGGAGCGAGCGTAAGCACAGGGCAGCGTGAACGTGTACTCCTCATCGTGCTCCATCAAATAAAGACACCCTGCAGAGAGAAACCGTTCGGCGAGTTATTCTTCACCACACCGGCCAGTTTGGTTTACGTCCATTTGTTTCGGATGAATCAAGTGTACAAGAACCTCACGGGCTCACCTTCGCCTATCATGGACACACCAATGGACATCCCCATGAACTTGCTCTTGGTCCACACGTGCGTGTTCACGCACATGCGCCTCTCCTGGCACTCAGCGTAGAAGCCGGACACGGGCGGGTGGTGGGACACCTGCTCCGCCACAAAGCGCACTTGGTAGGGGTCCTGGGAGGCGGCCGGGTCGGGGCCCCCCTGCGAGGGCTCCTTGGGGGCCTCGGGCCCCCTGGGCACCTTCCAGGAGCAGTGGAAGGTCTCGCCGATGATGGGGTTGTAGGGCTTCTTGGCGATGGCCCCCTTGCGTCCCTCGTGGAAGGACGTGAGGTAGTACTCCACGAAGCGGACCATGCGGTCCTCCGGACTGCCGCCGTCCGTGATGGTCACAAAGAGGTCCGGGTGCGACATGAAGTCAGCGTACATCTCCAGCAGAGAGCGCTTCTCCAGGATGAAGGTGGGGAGGACCACCTGGGGAGGAGACGGCGACTTTTTGATGAGTCACAAGAGACCACGTGGCGTTCGCGGGACATGACCCCCCCAAAGTGTCTACATCCCCATCGGAGGTCAGCCGAGGGGTAAATCTGAAACCCAAGAGGAGGCTATGCAAACAGGGAGCGGTAGAATAACTGACCAGTACGTCTGGGAGGAGTTAGATTAGCCCGTAAGGTCGTTACAAATGGGACAAACGGACCAAGAACAACCTGATCCAACATTCATTTATTCATGGTGACAAAACCCCCTTTTTCCATTCAGAAGACTCAACGGTTTTGTGGATGTCAGCATGTGAAATAGTTCGGACTCCACACGAGTGGGACAGCACTAATCATTTATCCCGCTTCCCTCTCAGCGATACTGCAGGTGGAACTCGACCTACCCGCGTGAGGTCCATACCCAGCTTCAGCTGGGACAGCAGGTGTAAGATGATGCTGCGTTCCTCCTCCACAGCGCCCAGGTCCTCCTCCTTGTCGGTGAAGGAGTCCTCCGTCTCGTCCTCCGCATCGATGTCCTCCTGTTCCTGAGAGGGGGGGGACGGGGAGGGGCGGTGGGCAGAAAGTGATTGTTAATGCTGTGTGAGCCTTCGAAACAGACTTAAAAAATAAAACCCCAAAAATATTTAAACCGCATCGTTTAAGGCGGATTTAAAATGGGAAGTAAGTGATAACCAACTTCCCCCCAAAAGGGGAGAGAGGGGTCGTTAGCCCGGTCTTACCCCAGAGAAGCTGCAGGACTCGGGGCTGCTGAGCTCCAGGCCGCTCCCCTCCAGCGGGCCCCCCCCGGGGGCGAAGCTGCCCAGCGAGCCGCTGCCGTTCTTCAGGATGTCGGGCAGCTTGGGCTCCAGCCACTCGATGGTGGGTCCTGTCGAGGACGGGGAGCGCGAGGCGGCAGGGTCAGAGGTCGTCATTGTGCGGTTTTCCCTCGCCGGCCCTCCCCCACCCCCCTCGCCCCCTACCCCTCCCTCACGAGTCCCCCTGACACCTCACAGACGCAGCGCTACACCACCGGGCTGCTGACCGGGCAGATGGCGTCTCCTCAGGGCAGGCGAGTGGAACTCAAGCCCTCTGAGCAAAAACAACAGGTATCAGGATACTTCGGCGGCGGGAGGAGACGAGCCCTGATTGGCCTCCACCTACGGCCTTTTCTTTTATGTATGTTTAAAAGGGCGGGCAGAACTCCGGCTGATACGACGTCTCAGGCCTAATGAAAAATACATTATGTAACGAGATCTGCTTTGACAAAGCGGAGCATTAGCCGGTTGTTTCTTTCTTCTGCATCCTGAAGTTTTAAAACAAGTTGGAAGCTTCCTTTGGCTTCGCTCTTAAACTGGAATGTTTTTGAACCCAATTTAAAATCTGAATCTTTAAACATTTGAGATCTCATTACCTCGGCGACCGGTGGTAAGAGAAGGTACCGTTCCTCATCAATAATGCAAAATGATTCCACTGTCTGGCCAACGCTGACTGTTGGATTGGGTGCAGCCTTGCATATACAACACTATGATTTGTTGTGGACCTCGTGTGTCCTCAGTTGACAGAAAAGGGACAGCAGAGCGGCGGTTGATTTAGCAGACAGAACAGCTCACTTCTAAAACAAGAGTCGCCAGACGAGCGTTGACGTTTCTCCTTGACTGCAACGTTAGAATTGACCAACAATTGTGGGGAAGATTGACAAAGAGCACTGACCTCCCAGGGAGCCTCTCTGGCGGGCCACCTGCTGCAGGTGGAGGATGTGCAGGCACTCGTTGAGGCAGTTCATGGTGGCCATGGAGGTGGCCTTGAGCATCAGCAGATCCTGGTCTAGAGGGGAGAAACCGGGGGCTGGAGGCAGGCCCTCGATGCTCTGGATAAGGTCTCGGTGTTGGCCCTGGGCCTGGGTCATCATCTATGGGGGGGGGGTTGGGTTCAACTTTTGAATAACCAAAGCTTTTGGAATGACTGCCATGTCCTGATTAGTAACAGAATCACATGTCTGAGAACAACAACAACCCGTAGATGGAAGAATACGTGATTGATTCAGCGTGCTGGGGGGGCACACTGGCGCCATCTTGTGGACAATTTGCATCACACAAAATAGGTCAAAGGGAACATCACAATAAAACAACAGCGTTACTTTAATACCAAGTCCTAAGTATTTTACATTCATGTCTCGTAGGAACCAAAGCTATTAATGCAGTTTGTGTGCATCAATTTAGACTTTCGGCCCAGATTCTGAAGGACTTTCTGGCTGTTTGTTGCGTCACACTTCACACCAAAACAGCTGCTTGATCGGTTCAGACGTTCTCGATTTCTCCCCCTTTCCTTCTCCTGCCAGGCTGCAGACTAACAGCGTTGCAGAAATGTCACTTCTGCTTGTGTTACGCTACAGGGTGCGTGACGACATCAGCATTCCAATTAATCATTATGTCGACTCTTATCTCCAGTCCAAAGACCATTGGAACATTTTTCAAAGCAATTCAGCTCAAATATTCTTGGCGGAAGCACCACGGTGAATTAACGGTGCGGGATTCACGGCAGGTTTGCGAGTCGGCCCAACATGCCGGCAGTACCTCTCTGGCGTCCATCAGGTGGTCCGGCAGCAGGGACCTCTTGCTGGAGTAGAGGGACGAGCCCTTGTTGCCCTGCGACCAGGCGAACAAGGCGGCGGGGTTCTGGCTGGGCCGGCGCAGCGACATGGGAGAGCTGCCGCTGCCTTGGGACGCCATCGAGTAGCTCCGGGACTTGGGGGGCGGATTGCTCTGTGCGGCGCAAAAATGTTCACCGTGTTATTTTACTTCATAAAAAAATAAAAGGCACCATTTTTACGCTGTGATTCTGAGAGAAAGGAACACGCGCTTCGGGGAGTTCTGTGCATCCCAAGACAATTAAAATAGAACACGGGCACCAGAGTTGTCCGTCGATCAATATTAGTGATCGATGTGCTTACAGACAAGCTAAAAGCGGATTCAGATAAACATTAATATTTATACTAATAACTTCTTCGGTTTCCTGTTTTGCTTCCTCGTGTCCGAGGACGGTCCGGCTCACATCCGCTTTGTGGCAGAGGGACTTTTACACAAACAGCAAACAGTGAAAAAGGGACATCAGGCACCGCCGACCTAAGTGCTTGGGGATTTTTAACCTGCGTGTGTGTGTGTGTGTGCGCGCTCTCTCTGGTGTGATGGAACAACGTCTCACCTTGCCCAGGGCCTCGGTGTGGTGCTGCGTGCAGATCTGCAGGCGACTCACCCAGTGCTGTCTCTCCTTGGCATCGGTGGCTGAGGAACACACACACACACACACACACACACACACACACACACACACACACACACACACACACACACACACACACACACACGTTACAGAAGAGCAGAACCACCTCCGTTGCTCTACGACGCTCATCGATTTCCCGTGTGCTTCTGCGTCGCCAGCAGTAGATAATGGAAACGAAACATCCAGGTCAATACCGTACGAACTTGATGTGCGCAACGGCTCACTTTGTGGGAGCGGCGACGCAGAGAGAAATATCACAAAAGCAGCGAGCCAGCGTGATGTAACGTGGTCTGAGGCGTCTATAGACACACGCACGGCAAACACAGACGCGTGTGTGAGGTGCGTGTGAGGGTGCGTGCTACCCACCCCGGAGCTTGTACTGCTCGCCGCTGATGGCGTTGACGGTGAAGGTGTGGGAGTCCTCGTCGCTGGGCGAGATGACGGCCCCGGCCAGGGGGAGCATGCCGCGGGGCTTCTGGGGCCGCGACTGCTCGTTGACGAAGTACTCCAGCACGCCCGCCTCATTGTTTAGGACAAAGAACCTGGGGGCAAAGCGTCTCGATCGGATCACAACGAGGAACCACGGCTGAGCTGCTTAATTGGGACACTAAGCAACGTTTGACATTATAACGGACAGGTGTACAAACTCACCTGTATTGCCACCCTGTCACAAGGTTGGTGTATTTCATCAAGTAGCCATCAATATTCTCCATGTGGTCACTGGCATGAGAGGTCATCAAGGAGACAAAAACAGCACTTGTTAAAATGCTTTGATTGATTGCTTGGAGACACACACACACACACACACACACAGGTGTATGCACTATCTAATCCTCGAGCAGAGATCATTTGCTTAAAGGGCAAAATGCATCCACGGCCAGTTGTCCAGTTGACGAGCAGATCTCATCAAAAACCAAAGAGCGAATCGGTCAATGAATCCACAGTAAACACACAAGTAGAACCTACTTTAAAGAAAAACAAAAATCACGTTTACGCAACCGGCCAGGTAAACAAACGGCCTTAAATCAGCAAAGTAGCTTAAATGCCGGGTTGATTAGGAGCGTTGGCAGGTAACAGCCGCCCACCTGTACTGCCAGCTCTTGGCGCTGGCTCGCCCCGAGCTCGGCGTCCTGGTCTGGGGGGCTACATCCAGCTTGCCGTCGGTTTCCGTGGTTCGTAAAGCCGTGGCTTCCCCTTGCATGTTCACTGGCGACGGCGCCTCCTCTACGCGCTAACTGGGCTCGCTAGCGTCGAGCTAACCCCGCGGAGCTAGCTCAGCTAGCTCGCCGCCGATTCGATTAAGCGGGCGAGCCCTCCCGGTCGAGTGGCGCCGATGGTTCGATGCCCCGCCGAGACGCACCGTCCACCCGGGGGCTGGCGAGCTGTTAACCGGCTGAGTTAAATAACCCGCGGTGGGACATCGTGAACGCCGCTAAAAACGGGGAGTAGCCGGATAGCCTGCTAGCTCGCATAGTATTTACTGCCCTGGCAGGAAACCAGTCACGTGACCGGCTCACGAGCACAAGCTTCCGCGTATCGATTCACAATTAAAACGGGGAAAAGAAGAGGGATAAATCCCCCCGTTTCACTTACTGTCTTGACGTTAAACTGAGTGAAAGGAAAAACAATGACTAAAGTCACCACAAAAATACAGATATAAAACTGATATTTTGCACATGTTCGGTATGTTGAGGTGCAGTACGTAGACGGATTATTTATATATTCGTGAATGCCATTTCCTCTGTTTTAGTGTACTGCAAACAGGAGCGGATATTGTTGCCGTAGTTATTTTGTTTTGAAAAGCTACTAAACCGGAAGCTTCCTTCAACGCGTTGTCCGGCTTGACGGTCAATGCCGCGATAATAATCGAGCGGTTCTCCGTTCTTCTTTGTGCGCTCCTCTTCATCCATTCATCTTAATCATGCAAACCCCGTTTGTCAACGCGCACGTCCGGTACGTGTGACAACAACCTTTTAAAAAAGTGCTCAAATAGACGTGATACTTGTTGCACCGCGTTGTGCTTCGTTCCCACTACATCCGTGGGGAGGAGAAGGAGGGTCGGTTGTAGGAAACAGGGCGTATGAGGAAGTTGTAAGAGACGCTGAACAAGGAGAAGAAGAAGAACAACAGTTCGGCCGTGAGAAGGAAGCTCGCTGCGTTCAGAATGCCTGCGAAGAAAGTGTGCATCGTCGGATCTGGAAACTGGTAAGTTCACAAGTCTCTTGCGGACGTGTATCTCCGAGGGAGTATCTGTGCTGTGGTCATCTGCCAGTAAAACGGCGTGCGCTCGATTCCTAACTCGGGTCGCAGGTCGAGTCGTGTCGCAGAGGAAGATTCAGATCGTCCGCACGTTATTTATGATTAAAAATCATTATCACTGAAATGCGTAAAAAGGAGGATGCAGCGCGGCTCCCTCTTCATATCTCGCATCTGTGATGCAACACGATCACGCCTTTTTACAGCCTCGCATAAAACATCACATTGTCCTGGCGCTGAGTAATGATGCCCGTTGCACACTTTTTTGGGGAGTGGCTATTTAGTGGTTCTGGTTTTTTTCCATGTTCACCACCTGAACCTGTTGTGACCCGCTCGCGGCTCGTTGACTGCGGCCCCATTCTGCAGCGTTTTGGATTGTGTCACCAGAGTTGCTCCTCATTCTCCTCTCGCTCCAGGGGCTCCTCCATCGCCAAAATAATCGGGCGCAACGTGAAGGCCTCCAACCGCTTCGACCCGATGGTAAACATGTGGGTTTATGAGGAAATGATCGACGGGAGGAAGCTCACCGAGATCATCAATACGGAGCACCAGAACGTCAAATACCTCCCGGGCCACACGCTGCCGGCCAATGTGGTAAGATGAGGGTGAAACCAGGCAAAATAAGGTCATGATGATTATTGAGGTATTAATGAGGGAAAATCGCATGCATATTATGTCACATCGCCCAACAAGCTGTGCACGGTAAGAGTTGGGTGTTGGTTTTACTTGGTACACGATTACCTTTTTATGTGCTCCGTTTTGTCAAATCTAATATTAATAATAATTATTATGTCCAGGTCGCTATTCCAGACGTCACGGAGGCCGTGAAAGGAGCAAAGATCCTCGTCTTCGTCATCCCGCACCAGTTCATCGCCAAGCTGTGTGACCAGATCAAGCCTCACATCACGGAGGGAACCATCGGGATATCGCTCATCAAAGTAAGGTCCTCTCGTTGGTCCCTCGCCGCCGCTCTCGTCGCGGCCTAAAAGGGGAAACCGGGGCCATCTAGTCGACCGATCGATGTTAACGCGGCGACGAGACCCGAGACGTCCGTTACCTCGAGGCGATCGGCTCACTCCTGTCGGTCATTGTCATCCAGGGCATCGACGAGGGGCCCGACGGACTCAAGCTCATCTCCGACATCATTCGAGAGAAGCTGGAGATCGAGGTCAGCGTCCTCATGGGGGCCAACATCGCCAGCGAGGTGGCGGACGAGAAGTTCTGCGAAACGACCATCGGTCAGACTCCGTTCCGATTTCAGAGGACGCCGCCCCGTCTCTCCGTTTTTTTTTTTTTCCCGCGCCCGTTCGGTGACAGTTTGTGTTTTCTCCTTCTCGGTGGCTTGTTTTCCGCCGCAGGCGCCAGAAACGAGGCCAACGGCCTCATCTTCAAAGAGCTGCTTCAAACTCCCAACTTCCGCATCACCGTGGTGGACGAGAGTGACACGGTGGAGCTGTGCGGCGCCCTGAAGGTGAAGGCAGCGCTGAGGAGCTGCTCCTCCCATATGAGGGCTTCCGCCGTTTCAAACCCAGCCTCAGTGCGTCCCGTCAAAAGCCAAATGTTGCGTTGCAGAACATCGTGGCGGTGGGTGCCGGGTTCTGCGACGGCCTGGGCTTCGGCGACAACACCAAGGCGGCGGTGATCCGGCTGGGCCTGATGGAGATGGTGGCCTTCGCCAAGATGTTCTGCACCGGCCAGGTGAGCTCCACCACCTTCCTGGAAAGCTGCGGCGTGGCCGACCTCATCACCACCTGCTACGGCGGACGGAACCGCAAAGTGGCCGAGGCCTTTGTCAGAACGTCCAAGGTGAGCGGAGTGTGGCCTTTTCGCGTCGCCACTTTTCCAAAAGATGTTTAGATCCAATGCGTCACATATTCTGCCACCAGTCCATAGTTGAGCTGGAGGCAGAGATGCTCAACGGGCAGAAGCTGCAGGGCCCACAGACCTCCGCCGAAGTCTACAAGCTCCTCCAAAAGAAGGACATGGTGGACAAGTGAGTCCTTGTACCTGTAAAAGACGTCACCGTTGACCCGAGTCCCATTGTGGTAACCGAACGGCGTGAGTGAAACGGTGACGTATGACTTTGTTCGACAGGTATCCGCTGTTTTCTGCAGTCTACCAGATCTGCTTTGAGGGCAAAGAGGTGAAAGAGTTCATCACCTGTCTGCAGAACCACCCGGAGCACATTTGACGGGTCCGTCGTCGCGTTCCACCGCGGGGTCGCGCCACCAGAGGGCGGAAGAGATGCATCACAAAGAAACGCACAACACAGCACAGGAGATGCAATGAGACGTAACACTTTTTATCGGGGACATTTCATAAAAGGCCCGATATTTTTCTGAGCTTTTAAAACTTTGTTTTTGTATTGATTTTGCTCTTTTGGTGAAATACTATGGCACTTCCCTTAAGGCAACACACTTATTTTATTACTAAAATGATGTCAAATTTGTCCTTTTGTTGTTGTTTTCTCAATAAACTCAATTCGTAAGAAACTCAAAACTTTCTCTTCATTCCCAAACTGCAAGCGGTTCCACTTTGCCCTTTTTGTACAGTTTAAATTCTTCGACAGACGCTTGTGTTTCCGTAGTGACGGATGAGGACGGTCCATCTCACAGGCTGTAACTGATATTCCCTCCTGTGATGGATCCCACAGTCAGCCCCACTGCTGCAGCTCGATTCCCACGGGGGGGCCGCAGTGAGAGAGACACGACTTGGGGAGGGGGCTGCGAGGGGCTCGCACAGATTCCCGTGGGAGAGCCGGGAATCGGTGCAGGTCCTCAGGAGGAGGGCTCTTCTCATCTTCTAACGGGCAACATGTCATCGGCCCAGCTCCTCTGTTTCAAAGAGAAGGGCCCGCCTTCCGATGAGACGGAGGAGGCTTAATCGCCACGGTTACTTGTGTGTTGGTACCTCATGAACACACACACACACACAGATCCACTGTCCTCCAGCTGGAAGCCCATTGGACAGCAGGATTGAGGTCAGCGTTTGAGTTACATGTACCTATCTGCTTCATTACCCTTTTAAAGCTGCGCTCAAGAGCATCTCTATACGTAAACACAGATCCTTCCAGGCTTAAAGGAAAAGTTCAACACTCAGAAAAAGGTGACCGGATCAACATCAGCCTTTCTCCGAGTGTGGAGACAGGAAGTGAGTGGCTCGGTCCAAAGAGAAGGAAATACACCCTTTCAACACTCTGTAGGGGACTGATTGACAGCTGGGATCTCTTTTTGTTTAACTTGTCTGGGGCGAGAAGTGAGGAAGAAGAGTTATGGGTCTGTTCCACTGATGGGAACGTGCATTAGCTGCATTAGCGTGGATTACATCGGGTTGATATCGTCCAGAAAAGCTGAGCTAAGACACATTGAGAACTTTGCAGCACGGCCCGTGATTTTATGAGGTGTGAGGAGACTGAGCAGTTATCCACAGTCGGCTTATCACCCCTTGAGTCTCCCGCGGATGAAACGTCTCATTTGTGCATTCAGAGCCCCCCCCCCCTGAGTGCTCGGGGGGCCTTGTTTTTTCTCTCTAAATGAGACATGTGGGCCGGGCCACGTGTTTCTTTGCTTTCATGGCACCCAGAGAGGCTTTGGACCGGTGTCAAACCTCACACGCTCCTTTTACGTGTCAATGACAGCGGAGAGAGAGCGGAGGATGCCACCTCCTCCTCCCAGCTGGCGGGAGACAGGAAGCGCTCCTCTCCCTCCTCAGGGTGGGGGGGGGGGGGGAGGCGCTGGTTTGCTGGGGGAAGACGGCGGAGACCGTGGCAGGCAGCCTGGTCGTGGCGCTGCATACAAACGCGGGGGTGAGAACACGAGGCCCATTTGTTTGACTCCCCCATCCTCTCACCTCGGGGAGAGAAACGGAGGAAACGGCCATAAGAGACGGCCATTGCTTCCAGTCAGGAGATCATTGAGCATGATTCAATGAAATGAAGTCAGTACGGACGTGCTGGGATGAGCCGCTTTATCTGCCGCTCTGACCAACTGAAAAGGCCCTTTGAATTATGTGACTCTACAAAACAGCACCAGCAGAGTAACCCCAATATCTCAATTCAGTATATTTTTGGGAACACAGATGTTTTTTTTTACACACACCCACAGCACAAGATCCTTTCCCATGTGCAGTACACTTTTATGTCAGAGGGAAAGGTCAGATTTGTTTTCCTCATAAACCGCTGCCTGTGTTCTCTCGCTCCTGGAAGCGTGGCAGCACATGTGGCCCTTCGGGTTCGTCTGCTGTTCGGATCACACATCTGTGCACGCGCTCAAAAGGTCCCGGGCGATAGGAGGCCATGTTTTCCATGAAGCGGGTACACCGAAGGAGCTGTAAGCATGGCAGCGGAGCGCTGAGTTGACTGCTTTATGGCGGCTCTGGTTGCAGCCGGGGCCGTCCTGCAGGGAGGCGCTGTGGTTGAATGATGAAGCAGCCTCGCGCGCCTGCGAGAGGACGGCGTGATAGTCCTTTTTTTCACGTTGGTGCATCTGTTTGCGTTTAAGTGTTTCCTGGTGTGCCTCCACAAAAGTCGTTCCATATTTGACCTTTTCCCTTTGTGGATGCTGCGTGTTTGTGAGGGGAACGCCGGCGTCGAACTGCACCACGTGAGCGATGAGAAAAGAAATGTGACTTTTTTTGTCCCGGCGAGACGCGTGGCTGCATTGTTCAGGACTGCATGCTAAATGCTTTGACCCCCCCCCGTCATGCATCCTCCCCTGCACAGCTGCAGAATGCATAAAGGGCTTCCATCTCCCCAATCGTTTCCTCCGTGCTCCTGCAGAGCGTTGACCTGCGACATGGAAGAGTTGGACCTCGTGCCTGGAATGCATCTGGATGTCCCTCAGGTCAAGGCGAATGTCTCCGAGGGCACGAACACACACACACACACACACACACACACACACACACACAATGTTGGTACAAAGATATTTCCTAAACCGAGCGGCCAGCCGGTGATCGTTTGTGCAAATAACTAAATGATCAATGCCGCGTTTAGCGTTATGAGTGTTTCTGTCCTTTGTGTTCGGATGTGTCGGTTAAGAGGCACTTTTTAGAGTTTTTGCTCTCATTGCCTTTGATAAGCTTCAATTAATATTACTTCTGCTTCGAGGGCGATGAAAACAGACGGGGGCCGTGCCTCCCAAATCGAAACATTAAAACATTTTAAACCTCATACTTTGAGTGCTTCTTGAGATTCAGACAGTAAGTGTCTAAAGGACCAAAAGGAAACACTGTTAAGATCTCGGTTGTCTTTTTATTCACATTATTCACCGTTGGTTCTGCATGGAAAAACCATCTTTAGGATCCGACGTTCTTTGATTCTGGATTTTTCTATTAAATTAAAAGAATACGTCACAAGTTTGCAATAGGCAAAGGCTTCCTTTATGGAATGCTAACCCGTAATAATATTATCCTTCAGTCGACGGTACAATGCAGCTTTTATCTGATTAGCTTCGGAGGTTTGGGTCTAATTGAATACCCATGATGAAAGGCTGCTTTGGAATTATGCTCTCTGCTCCAGAGCGGCTCACAAATAGTTTTTTAAGAAGAGGGATTTTTGGGAAGGAAAAGTATTCTTCCTCGTAGCCGCGGCAGGAAAAAGCATCTGACATTTTGAGACGACTTTATTCCACACGCCGGAGGAGCACAAAGTGACCCGACTCCTAACGAGATCGAATGCGTGCTCACTGTTCAACAGCCCAAAGTCTCACAATGTCGTCACTGTGCGAGCGAACAACGCGAGCGATGCAGTGCAGTGAGTTCAGAGGGGGAGGAATGCGACGGCGGAATGGAAGCACGCGGGCGGCGAACGCGTCGCGAGTCTGCGGGGAAACAGACCCGCTCTGAAGGCGGAGCGCCGGGTTCGCAGTGGGGTTTTAGGGATGTCGAGCGGCCCTGAAGGGGCCCTGGTCACCCGGGTCACAGGCCGCGGACCCTGAATAGAAAGTGCGTTTGACGGGAATTCCTGGCCGCCGCCAAGAGAAAACGCAAGAAAGAAAGAAAGAATAACAAACGAAAAAGGAAAGAAAAGAAAAAAAAAAGGTTGATTTGACTTGTGGCTGGCAGCGAGGAATGGCATGTGATCCCTGCCGCCCTGCCGGTTGGTTAATAAACACTGGCCCGTCAACAGCTGCTGGTGATGTAATGTGGAACTTCTCCTCGCTCTCCTCCCCCCCCCTCTATTTACAAGCCTCTCCGGGTGTTGATGCAGACTTCCAGCAGCGGCGGCGTGGACGGTGTTTGTGTGTGGCTTCCCCGCTCTACACTCTACGCGGGGTGATTTACGACGGGCATGTTCTCAGCTGCCATCAAAAGGACATTCCACATCATCGGCTTGTCTTCCCAACCAAAACACCCCCCGAGAGTCAGGGGGGGGGGGGCGGGAGGGCCGGCCGACACCCTCTGGAGCGCAGAGGATCCGGCCAGCGCAGAGGAAGTCCTGCTTGTTCGTCTTCTGACCTCATGAGAGGCCGAACTGTCTCTCCCTCCGTTCACGGCCTGCTCGACGAACAGGTGGGAACGTCGTTTGAAATGTTTTGAGCTGGAGAAAAATTGATCTTTCGTCTTTTTAAGGAACATGCAGGGAGACAAACGCACGCCAGCACGGTGCTGCCGTCTCAGCCTGCGTTCAGGCATCGAGTTCGCTGTCAATCGCCGCGGCGTCTGCATACCGTTCCCGGGGCGGAGTCCCGCCTGCCGCGTGTCAGAGGAGAGGCCTTCGACAGGAAGCTCACTTAATTATTATTATTTTATCTCCCCAGGATGTATATCCAAGCGTCCTACGCATCTGGTGGGATAAGGGGGGGGGGTTGCAGGGACTCCCCTCGTGAACAGGATGACGACATTGTATTCCTTGTTTTGCTTTTTTTTTCACCCGCTTCCAACCCGTTTAAACCCTCGCAAAGTTTAAAGCGGCTCAGTCCTGGCAGGCGGAATCTGTATCGTGAAAGGGAACCGAGAAAGAGATTTCAGCAGATTGGTTTGACGTGCTGTGTTTGCGAACTTGATAAAGCAGAACGGGACGTCGCTGATCTGTCTTCTCACTGCCAACGTTGTAACAGACGAGTCGCTCCCGCTCGTCCCACGAGGACCTCCGTTTGTTCACCGATTTCAATTCTAGAAGATCAAACTTTACGCCCTCAGTCCCGTCGTTTCTGCCCTTTTAAGCGTGATGGTAGATGAAACACCTTTTGATCCGACGAAACAATTTAAATGTGCTTCGCGATGGGCCCTTCGTGAAACCAACTAAAGGAGTAAAAAAACACTACACCTACACTTCTTTCTAAGCCCGTAACAGCTGCACTCCTCCTCGTTGTGTTTGCAGCACATGTGCTGTTTATTCAGCTTTGTATAGGCTGTCCTGGGAAGGATAAAGACGTGTGTAGAGACACCCTCTCATGCACACAAAGCTTCTACTTTTACCGGCGGACAAGGTGACCAGCGCAAGTCCACCCGTCCTCCTCACGACCCGCTTTAAACGCCTGAAAGACGCGCAGTGATGA